TACTCAGTCTCCGGCTCCTCAGAGACGTACTTCTGCGCGCGACCGCATCCACGCGAAGGAAAATTAATATTATGAACACCCCGCTCATTAGTTTCGAAGAAGCGTTTAACGACGTCCTCGGAGAGCTCAACGGCCGAAAAACAATGACGAAATCGATGATCCCCTTCGAAAAAGCCTTCCTGCAAGTGGGCTAATGATGGTGCCAAAGAATGAGGCTATCTGGACCCAATTTGACAAACAAGGATTGAAAATTAATAAGATGGAGGCTGCGGAGAGCGACACATGTCCAAACTCGGCCAATTTCTAAAATGCTTTTGTGGCCAAATTGACGGACTTGAAAAATGCGGCTATTTAAACTACAACCGGCAAAAAAAAAATCAAAATGATGAAACTCTATTGAAGAATCGAATTTTCACCTACCTATACATTGGAAGTTTCAAACACATGAAAGGTCCTTAACCAAATGAGGCGACGTAGATAAAGAATATCATGGCTAAACACCGCACCAGCAAAACACTACGCAACGTGGGCGATACGATCAACCCAGGGAAGATCATGTTGTGCAACGCCTATGAAATGAAACGCTTATAACTTGCCCGCCGGATCGCACAGCTAGTCAAAAAGGTTCTGCTTCCCTATGGTCTCAAATTGTAATTTTGAATTTTAGGGAGCCCGGACGCATATACAACGAAGCCTTACAATCGACCATCTTACGACCTAAGATAGAGGTATTCTCCCTCATTTTGAAGAAAACTTTATTTTTAGTTGTGGAGGAAGCTTCGTGGCACAGTACAAAAAAACAGTACAAAAATTAAGCTCAATCGGATCTAATAAAATGGGATCTTAAAGAGACAAATAAACATTTGCCGGGCTCGAACCATATGTGAACACTGCAAAAACACACCCGCATCAATTTTCTAAATTTATCTTCCTTTGCTGAAATAGATTTAAAAGGCATCACATCGTTTTCTGAATTGCTTTTGTTATGAAAATAGAGTGAAAAATGCATCAATATCAATCTCCACATCTTTATTTTTGCTAAAAATTAGCCTTAACATTGATATTCGACTTTTAAGTCGCAGCTGGATCTCAAAACTTACGTGGTCGATATAATATACATACAGAGGTAGAACAATTAATTTTTTTCAAACGTGTACGATTTGCTGGAATGGGATGATCTAGAATACCCAAATGGACTGTTTTATATAGTATAAGGTTTTAAGGCTGTATTAAATAGAGAAAGGTAATAACTAATTTTGATTATTTTCGGTTTTTGGGGACTACTTGTCGATGCTGCTATTCTCCAGCATGGATCGCCGTCTTTAAACATGTGTAAAGTGTGTAAAAAAAAAAGTGTAGTGGGAGCAATAAACGAGGGAATGGTAGAGTAAGCAGCGCATAAATGAAATGATAAAAACGCCTACACGCAAGCAAGAGTAAAGATAAATGTAAAAAATCAACAAAGAAAAAGTAAAAAAAAGAAATGTAAAAAAAAAGTGGAGACAAATGAATAAAAAAAAGAGTGTATAAAGCTTGGACATGTTCTTCTCTAAATTGAACATCTATCGATCCAGCACCAACCCACCTCTCAATTATTTTTACATCCACTGTAATTCCAAAATCCATTTTTCAGTTATTTTTACATTTTTCATCAAGCTTAATAGTAATCAATCATCTCCATAACACATTCTATATATCTAACATTTTCTAAATGTCAAATCACCCATTTACATCATTGAAATGTACTAACAGCTGAATAAATAATAAACTTGATTATCATTACCCTCGTCCCAAATAAATTTAATAATGAATTTTTGGAGTTTTTGCAATAATAGAAACAATTAAACCTTAGTATTTTCTGATCCACCGAACGTTTAAAAACCTTATGGCAATAAAGGGAAGAAATATTAGAAATTGGGAGATTCCTTCTTCAATGGGAGGGAAGTAAAGTATAAGGAAATGTGCAAAGTCTTATAGCCAAACTTTCAAACATCTGCTAATGCCTTAATTAAAATTAAATTTTTAACTAACAACAGTTAGAAAATTAAATTGAGATAAGGTTATAATCCCAATTTATCTTTTTCCTCCAGCCTTTTTTGTTTAGTCTTAGGCCTGAGTTTCTTCATGATGTTGATACTTATGATCCACCACATTGTTTCTAAAAATTGTCAATACATTCTTAAAATTAATAAATATGCTCATAACAACATTCAGAGAACCCAGTAGAATTTGATCATCTGGGAGTAAGAAATGGAAGAAGATTTTCAAGAGATTTTCCATTTAGATCTTCTGAGTCAAACTAATCTTTCTAGATAGATCCATGAAGGCAAATAACAACTTATTAATGGGTAGATCCACACTGATCTTGTTTAAATTAATAATCCAGTCGCAGGCTCCTGTATCTGATCTAATTGATCTCAAAGAATCAGCCAAGAATGTTTAATTTATTCACATGAAAAAGTTTAATGAATAAGAATTAATCAATGAATCCTAAAATAAGATGAGATATATGCCAAACACAGTCCCAGTCCTGAATTGTTTGAATATTGACACTGGTTAAAATGAATCCTGAATCCCTAGACTCAGCAATCTTCCTGGCAAACAATATATAGCTTTTGTATGTCAGTTACTTGATGTAGCATTGAAGTCACACTGAAAACCTGCATTGATCATGAATTTATTCAAGATGCCAGCGCCTGACCAATAGTAAAAGATTCATAACATCTTTCTGTTAACAAGAAAATGGGTAAATTTTTCAAATAGAGGAGTCTGTGAGTAATCTGAGTAGAGCAAAGCAGAGCAGATGCTAAATGAACAAGGTTGAAGAGTTTTTGTTTACTCAGCCTCAGACTCTCCCGAGACGTGCTGCTGCGCGAGAACGCATCCAAATTATGAACAAATGAAAATTAATATTATGAACACCCCGCACGCTAGTTTCGGAGAGTCGTTTAATGACGTCCTCGAAGAGCTCTACGGCCTAAAAACGAAGTCGAAATGGATGAGCCGCTGTCGAAAAGGCGTTCCTGCAAGTAGGCTACTCGATGGCCTAAAACAAAGAAGCTATCCGAAGCGAGCCCGGCAAACGAGGGAATAAATGTGAAGAAGTAGAATTTTGAAGTAGGCTAATTACTTAGCTTAGTAGTAGTTAACTTCGAAGAAGGGTTTAACGACGTCCTCGGAGAGCGCTATGACCCCAAAACAGGTCGAAAATTGGATCGTCGCGGTCGAAAAAGCGTTTCACAAAGTGGGCTGAGTATCTCCTCACTCAACTTAAACGAACATGACATAAATGATTTCTACTGAAGAATAGGATTGCCGCCAATATTGATAAGATTTTTCGCCCGGTCTTTTGAGGCCGACGTGGTGTTTTCCAAAGTTTTAGCGGGGCGGAAGACTCCACACAAAAGGAGGAGACGACGTTGATAAGGCATGGAGTTCTAAAGTCTAAAGAAGACTGAAGTTGATGGATTCAAATTTTCGGAGAAAATTTGGAACGGTTGAAGAAAGAAGACGGATATTGTTCTGGAGAACTTTCCAAGCGTCGCAAGCTGAAATTAATGAGAGGAAACCCGATAAAATGCTATTATGCAAATTTTGGAAAACAGATCCGACAAGTTTTATCGGCAATCGGCATTCCGCGCACAAGCGAGGCAATCGATTAGCCCGAAAATCTCCGACCGTTGGCATGCGTTTAGGGTCATTAATATTTAACCCTAAGCATCTTCAGCTTTTGGCACCAAAAGGCCGGTACAAAATAATGAAGAACATTAACGAGCGAATTTTGGAACACTTGGCAGAACTTTTTCCCAGCAAGAAAGCTCGCCCGACGCAACGTTGCAACGTGACTGCCTACCTACCTGGAAATGGAAGAAATCGTAATACTCGAAAATTTTGGTTAAATTCTATGCGCACGACTGGCGAATAGCAAATGCGATCTCCCTATCATCAACTATAATAATTTTCTTGAGGTGTCTGTCCGTCTGTCTGTCTGTGCGTCATGTCCCAGATTCAACTCGAAGGGGAAAGGAGCTAGAGCTTAGCTCTCTTCGGATTCGGATAGAGCGTCATCAGAAACCCCCAAACTGATAAAAAAATTATGAAAAAATTTTAGTTAAAATTATTAAAATTAACTTTGAAAGTTTTTTCCTTAGTAAAAGGGGTGGGGGACGGTGGTTGGCATGATTTTCGCATAGTGAGCCAGGTCGCGCGCGTTTCGGCGAGGGGAAGGGAGTGCAGGGAGGAAGCCCGAAGTCCAGCCGCTTGCAGCGGCGAAGCCGCTGGAAGCGGCTGGTTACCTAACAATTGGTAAAGTAAGGGTGAAGTGAAGTAAAATCGGCTGAGATCACGCGTCTCGCACAAATATTCGCGGAAGCGGTCTGGATTATGAATCTACGAAGGATGCGAGGCTTCAAGCAAGGAAGATCCTGAAGATACCAAATTACCTTACCCCGGAACGCGAGGTATAGTTTTGTTGTTTTTGCAAAACAAAGGAAGTTGTGTTGAAATTAACGAAATCCGTAGGCTATGAAAATTCTCAGAAAGTTTCCTAGGAGCTCTGTGAAAAGGATGGAGCCAATTGAATTAAGCAGAATTCTTAAGCCATGAAAATTCCTCTAACGGTTTTGTGGAAAGTTCTGTAAAAGCCTTGACTTGCTATGTTTTGAATAAGGGGATTTTTGATGTCTTGATTTTTTTTGGATTTTAAAGCATAAGATCGCCTGGCTTGAACAATAACATGCAGTTTCTTAAATTGCTAAAAACTTCTCAAACCTTATATGATGAACTTTATGACATAATATAATTTTTTATTTCAGCAAAAATATCTGGCATGCGAATACATGATGAAATTTTATATGGAAACCCGAATTGGCGGAGTAGCAGGAAATAACAAGTGAGGCTTTTTATTAAATAAGCTAATTATATATCGAAATAGGCTGCGGCTCCGCAAAAACCGTCATCGGCCAGCAAGGAATTGATGGAAACCCTGATCAATTGGCGAAATGGGCCAAATAGTAAGCTTTAGGAACAGCGGTTTGGAGATTGAATGGTGAAGTCTGATGAGCGGATGGGTGAATTAAGATTGAACAAGGGAGACGTTTTTAGTGTGCACGGAGTTTTAAAATATCCTATTTCATGTAGGATTTTTGCTGATCAAAACGTCACCTTTAAAATCTACGAAACTACTAAAATCAAAAATTTACGAAGATTTAAAGCGTGAAAAACGACCAAGCTAGGTAATTTTGAAGAATTGTTCTGCTTTGCAGCGTACTAATTTTTCTATTCTTTTCGTTTCGCAGATTTTGAACACTGCGTTTTCAGCGAAAAATTCCGCACCAAATATGCTAGGTCTCATTGCGAAACTGCGTGAACACTCAAAGTCGCCTCCTTGTAAGGACTTGCTGCCTCTAATGATTAGGATAACTTTTAACCGTTCAACTGCTAAAACAAGCCCATCCGATTTGCATAAAATTTTTCGTATTCGCTCAAATTTCGGATTTTTTGAAAGCTTCCTTGTAATTTTTGACCGCGAACGTCTGTTACCAACCGGATGAGTGATTTTAAGACGGTACATCCAGAGAGAGCTCTTTGACATTTCAAACCTTGTTTGTACATATCAAAAAATTGTTTCTGGGTGAGAAACATGCATAAGATAAATTTTTGACGCAAAAAAAACAATGCTACAAAGCTTCCTCATCAAAAGCGGTTCGGCTGCAGCAAGCTTTAAAAACTTTTAGGACTTTTTATTTCATGTAATGCAGTTCCATCTTTCAGTTTGGCGCGGTGTCTTTTTGCATCGATAAATCGGCGTGGGACTGCAGAAGTGATCGACTTGGAATTTCTCTGGCCTGACAGGCTATCTGCACCCAAACAAAAAGCGTTTGAATTTGCTTACGTGATAAAATAAAGTGAATGTACTTGAGACATTGGAAAATCACACTGCCGAGAATCACACAGCGACGCAAATTCGTTTCCGAGAAGATTTCTTGTCTTTCCAAAACTTCGGTCTATCGCGGATTGATTTTACAAACTCAAAAAATAAAACAAGAGACAAGCCGCTTTTGTTTCGATAAATTTTTAAATAGCTTAAAAACTTACAGTTGTTTTTAAACGGCCTGCTAATTTAAAAGCTACTACATATTCGCTTACTTCATTTCCCTTGCATTTATTTCTTTTCTTCATTTCAGCCTGCCTTTAGCTATTTCCTCGCGTAATCATTTCTCTTTCGGAACATTTTTCCTCCTCCCGGCCGCCTCCCATTCTTTTCGTAGTCGTGCTCGGCTAGCAGGCAGAAAAAGGGGGAGAAATCGATCTGAGCCGCTCGGATAGTTTCCTGCAGCATTTCCCCAGTTCATAGCTTTTCCCAATTAGGATCTTCTTGCGTTTCCTAAACAGTTTTTATTTGAATTTTTATCCGACTAAATTGTTTTCTGCCATGAAAAGCCCGTCGATAGTCTTCCTAAAAATATCAGATTTTTCCAAAACTTTAACTGAAGACCTCCGATCGATATTTTTGTCGGAAATTTGAAATTAAAATTTTCGGCAGCGAATTGGAATAATTTTGCAAAAAAATTAGAATTTATTGCCTTTTTCGACAATAATAATTTTGTCGAGTTCCGGTTTTATTGAATGTTCTGATTCTCGGAATTTCAAAAATTTTTGCTACTGTTTTTAAGTAACTGAAACTGATTTTTGAGAGATCTATCCGCGTATTTTGGGCAATGATTTTTCCGTTGCTTTTCTTTAAAATGCTCGAAAACCCTTTGCTTTTATCGCTAGGTCTTCGCAGTCAAAATTCGTATCATCCTCCTCCTGATCGTTACGACGTTTTACAAACTAGCTTTTCAAACATTTTTGTTTCAGATGGAGCCTCTTCTTGGATAATTCTACCAAACAAACTTTTGCGATTTCATGTCAAGAATCGACGCAAAAACAACGTGAAAATCTGTAGAAAAATATTGCTAACTTGCCACAGCGCAAAATACAAATCGTGACTGTTTCGAGATCCGAATAAGGGAAGAAGACGGAACTATATCCAAGATGATCAGGGCTGTAGCGATCCCCGAGTTTGGGGGGGCAACTCCAAAAAAATTTTTGGCAACGTAACAAAACTATCAAAAACAGCGCCGCAGGCAGCAAAAACAGTCTTAAAAACAGCTATAAAAAGCGCCGCAGAGCAAAAAAGTCCCCCCCCCCCCCGCTACGGGCCGGAACTGGATGATGACGAAGGGCCAGAAGGAGTGATTAGAATACCCTCAAAAAAAAGTAATTTTTTTGGACAAGGGTGACACTGAATAATGCGGCACTGCATAACCCGTGTTACTTCAAAAAAAGAGCGAATAATCCAAAGTATCTGTCAGATTAGTTCGCCTAGTGGTCTTTAACCTCACCTAATGGTAATAAAGCCGAGGGCGTAGCAGCAGCATGACTGTATCACCCTAAAAATAAAGTGGTGAATTGGCGGCAAAATGAAGTTGGATGAATTGAGCTAAGCAATTCAACGAGCCGGAGCAGGACCTACCATAACAAACAACAACTTTCCCAAATATTCACGTCACTTTGCAAATATTCCACACCAAATATGAACAATCGTGATCTCGAAATGTAAAGGTTGCGCGGCCAAGTTTCTTTTTGATTAGTTTAGTGCCCAAACTACGGACCTAACTATACACTGTTCTCCCCAAACGCAATCCAAAATTTGTAGAATTGGAGTACGGGTTTACCACGAAAGTCAGACCTGAAGATTCTTGAAGAAGAAAATATATTGGAGACGACCGGGTTTTGGAGAGACTTTTGCTTGCAATCAATTAAGAAACTAGGATATGAAGTCAACGGCAATTGATCAATAAGCATCAAACCAGCTCAGAAATTTAACGAAGCTGAACACAAAGTTCCCAAGAAAATCCAAGGGTCCTCATCAATAAGAGTTCCAGTCGATGTCTATTTTTTGGAAAATATATTATTTTGGAAATGCTCTTTTTCAAGCAATTTTCTTGTAATGAAAATTCGTTTCCAAACCGAAGAAAAATTATGAAGCCACCTATATAAACGGCGATCCTCGGAACTAATGCGAAAAACCATTCAACCTTCCACTATTTTTCGGGCTGCTGGAGCTGGAATTCATATGGCTCGAGCCGGAAATGCGTGTTCAGAAGAAAGAAGAGAAAATCCCGGGAAAACCACCAAACTAGATAAGGGGGTGCTCTGCAGGACCGCTATTTGGAGTCCATGATTAATTGCAGAACGAAAAATGAACCGAGGGAACTGAAGAATACGTTACTAAAAACGTGATATAAGTTTTAGCTGACCCCGGCTTCCGTTTGGATGCTAATGGGCCCGATCTTGGACAGAATGCTGAGAAATGAGATAAACGGAAAAAGGAAAAAGAAAATAGCCATGGAAAAAACCGGTGTGATACCCGAATGTTAAAAAAATACCCGACGGGAAAACTGGCAGCTGCGTGATCCAAACCTCGTATTGCTAAAACAGAACTGCGAGATATCAACGAGAAGTGTTGCTCTGACAATCCCCGTAAGTTTGTTGCTGTATTTTTCTAATAGGTCTAATCTCAGGGGTTACCGTTCAAACAGCTCGTTAAGAGGTTGTATTGGGAATACTTCAGAATCTCGTAATTTTAAAATAGCGCAATTTCGCAATCTCGCAATATCAGGATCTCACATTCTGGTATCCAGGGGAGCCCCGAAAATGCAGCTAGCCCGTGGGAATAGCGATATTAAAAAATTGTAAGATTCCAGAATGGCGAGATCATGAAATTGCGAGATTCTGAATTCGAGATTCTATTGCGAGATTCTAAAATTGCGAGATTCTGAAATTGTGGGACCATAAAGTTGCGAGATTTTGATACCACATCGGTTGTATTAAAGTAGGGGATCACAATGGAGGGTTATATATTTTTTAAAGCTAGTATCCATTGCAAGGGAAATTGATCCGTTTGGGGGCAATAACATTAACTTTTGACCATTAAAATTGCTTAAAGGGATGATCGTCTCTATTTATAAGGGTTTAACTAGCAATGATTATAACGGAAATTTTCAGAAATTCTTTGCATTGATTGGCTTCAGAGTCCGAGCCCAAGTCGCGTCGCGATAAAGACGAATTGAGCGACTTCATGGACAATGGTAGGCAATCTCAGCGATTAATTGTGGGTTGTAGTACAAATGGGAATGGATTGATTGCATTTTTCTACACTGCAACGCTAATGGAATGCCCTTCTGGCAACAATGTTGAAAAAGTAAAACGGCGCGTTTTTTTTTGTGCTTCAGAACATTCGAAGAATATTCCGAAGAAGAAGAAGGAGTGGGGCAAAATCTTCCGCGAACGGAAACGAATCATCATCACCTTGTCAGAATGCTTAAATATGCTGGGCATCAAGAAATCACATAGGTTGTTTTGTATGATTTTTGACGAGCTCCTACTCTACGTTAAAAGTTTTGAAAATCTTTGAAGCGCTAAATTTTGGAACTTTTTTATTAGTTAGCGAGACTTGCAGGGTATCAAGATGAAACTCTTAGGGTTCACTATAGAAAATCGATTCTTTTAACTAGACGTCAACAGGAGTCTTCGGAAAGTAGGGGTATTTTCCGAAGCGCCGAACGCACCGTTTATACGTTGCTATTCAACATGGTACGTTGTAATCAAGTCGGTTTTAGGAGCCATCTCATCCTACTCCGCTTTGATGATGGAGATCGCAATAGACGCGAAGCCCGTGAGTTCACTCTCCAACCCAAAAATACGTGTTTTATTTACAGCTTGGTGGAAACCGAGGGTAGACGGAAATTCACGAGTCATTGCATCCGTCGACTGTCCATTGGTATGGTCCGCTAGCTTGTACGTCAATCCGCCAAAGCAGTATGGGACGAAATGCCCTAGAAGACTCGAATGCGGCAAGTTTCCGAGGGAAAAATTCAGAGAAAGATTTGGCGCAGCAGGCAGATATCGGCCCGTATTATACAGCGCACATTACCGCATTTTGTTTCTTAATTGATTAGCATCCGTGCATAGCTACGCTGAAAAATTCTCTAAATTGCTGCTCTTTTAAGCAGCTATTTTTCAAATAGTCATGAAAACGGCTCGAGATATATCGCATCATTATAGCATTAATTCTACATAACCTGCCTTTGATAGTTTTTACAAAAAATTAACTTGCTTTATAACATTACAAAAACCAGAAAGGGTCTGATAAAGGAGACGGAATAAAACGCTGTTCTTTGTTTTTAAAATTGGGCAACATCACTGCTTTAATTGCGACCTGTTAGAACTAATTAATTTTTTCAGGCAAACCGGCTCTACCCATTCAGACTGTTCCTGAACGGTGGCCAGTGGTTCTCCCTTACAAGCAGAATAAAAATTAATTTGGTAAGTGTTGAAAGCGCGTAGCATCCATAATCAATTGTTCAAAGAGCTGGAATCCGATCTATGTGAATTACAATAACCAACGAGGCGTCGGCTGGATGACTGAGGTATATTGTAGATTTCTAGATTAACCACTGCACGGTTCATTTAGGTCGTGTTCAAGCTCAAACGCGATGTATCGAACCATTTGGGCCTAAAGCCGCATTTTTGATCGGCAGGAATGATAAACGATAATGCTAATCGAATAAATTTAATAATTCGAAATCGAATAAATCGAGCACTATCAATGCACGTTGGCACCAGAAAAAGCACAAACAGAACTGTTTTTTTATTTTGTGCTTTTTAAACGGAACTTGCAAAAACATTGGGGGCGCGGTATTAGAGAAAGCATCTTATGGAGATACTAAAATATCAAATGTGGTGTTATTTTATCATTGGTAGAGATTTCTGGCTCTATCTCCCCTTCCCTTTCGCATAACCTCATTGAGCGTCGGTGTGCTCTCCCTCGTCTCGCTCTCTCAAATTACAACTGGGCCCCAGATAGTGTCCACTAGTGCCCAACAACACGCACGACCGGTGTTAGCAATGCATCGCTTTCTCAAATCCCTTTTTAAATTGCTTTCTATCTTAATACTCTTAATTCTATTTTAACTCCTGTCCCAAAAACCCCAAACAACCCGATTTTTAGCTTCCAGATGATTATCGTGTATTTGTTTTTGGTAAATAGTACTAAGATCATTTCTCTTTGTTTCGAACTTACTTGAACTAGACTAAAAAGCAGCAAACCCTCTCGTTTCAAAAATCTTTCGTCATTTCCATACACCGGGGTAGCTCAAACCTTAACGACAATCTTAACCTTGTTTTGGCGGTAAGAGTTTACTTGACCCCCCCCCCCGTTGCCGAGGTGTCTCAAAGTTTTCGGTTTTTTTCGCTTATTTTGTCGGGATTTTTGCAACGCCATTCGATGGAGCGTCGTCAAACCTACTAAGGGGAGATTTTAAATTGAGCTTACAATAATGTAAAATTAAAAAGTTATTGTCAAAATGTTTCGGCTGTGGGGGTGGGTAAAATAAACCCTAGCCATTTTAGCTAATTCTAATTCTTATTTAATTATGTAAGTTGTCTTTTAAGGTAGGTTTGCATTGTACTTAAAGTCAGGATTTGTCTGCAATACAAAGTTTATAAGGCTTGTGCACCTCTCACTTGCTGTTGTAGGTGTGGCTGTGCGTGAGTTCTTGAGTGCTGGCTCACTCCAAGGGAATACCTTGCGAGAGAGTCGTTTGACACCTGAATTGATTTGGACGAAAGAAGAGAGAACAAAGTATTTATTTACGATAACGGCAATAGCCTAAAAACACAAGCAGCCGGACAAGACGGGCGAAGTGGAAGGAATGAAAAAGACACGCACAAAAAAGGGTTTGTGCCGGGGGACGGGGAGGGCGCACACAGGGCGTAGTGCAAAGGGGTGCGCCGTACAGGCATCGCGTAATTGAATCAAAAGACTTTCTTTTCTTGCTTCCGCAACATCTTCCTCCTTGAATGAAGAGCTTGACTCGGTGATGAAGTTGAGCTTGATGGAGACGACGTTGACGGCACTTCAATCTTGATATCGCGACGGCGGCTTCCGGATGCGCTTGTGGTGAAGGATCGGTCCAAGAGCATCAGTCTTCTTTGTCTTCTTCACAGGTTGTGCTTGATCTTGTTGACGAACTTCAGGTTCGTCGTCGCGTCCTTGTGGTTGTTGAACAACGTCATCGAGTTGTTCAAATTGCGGTTGTTGAGCAACGATATCGGGCTGGTCAATTTGAGGGCGTCGCGGCACGGCTGGTGATCTTGCCGGTGATCGTGGATGCGACTTCGGTGGCGACTTGGTTGGTGTTGTCGGCCGGTGAGCGGTGGGATGGGGAACATTCGGAACAGGTGCAAGGGGAATCAATGTAGGAGTTTTGGCGGATGATGCGGCTGACTTCTCGAGAGGCTTGTCAAGAGGTGGAGCAGTGTCCTGCACATTGACTTTATCATCGCTGGCAAGATCGAACTCTTCCAGGATATCATCGAGTACGTCTCGAACGAATCGAGCCCGTAGCTGGTTGGCATGTCGACGCCAAACGACTCCAGAGGTAGTTTCAACCTCGTACATGGACTTTCCACACAATTTAGAAATACGTCCTTCTACCCAGACAGGTTTGCTAGGGATTTTGTAATCTCGAACCCAGACGGTCTGGTCGATTTCGTAGGAACGCTTCTTTGCGCCGTGCTTCCGGTTGTACTGTTCAACCATCTTCATCTTCTCCCCCTTCGGAAAGATGAGATTCGCACTAGTATTGCTGTTGCTCTGGGGCAGACGCAAGCGAGCAATGGGAGTAACAAGCTTTCTCCCGATAAACCTTTCAGCCGGAGATAGCTGTTCTGGTGAAGATGGGCAAGGGGGTGGACCGATAAGTTCGCAGAAAAATTTGCAAAGTTTCAGCGTTAGTCGAACCAGCGGCTTTGCTCAAAGCGCGCTTGAAGGTATCGACGAAACGTTCGGCCAAACCGTTCGACTGGGGATGGAACGGTGGCGTGCGAATATGGTTAATTCCACGTTCCTTACAGAAATCTTCAAACTCCTTGGAAGTGAATTGAGTTCCGTTATCCGAAACGAGCGTTTCCGGATCTCCGAACCTGGAGAAAACATCTCTCAACTGGGCAATCGTCACTCGGCTTGTTGCCACCTTACACTCAAAGATTTCAGGCCATCTTGAGTAAGCGTCGACAACGATCAAATACATTTTTTGATCAATCGGACCGGCATAATCGATATGCACGCGCTCCATTGGACGATTTGGGGTAGGCCAGGGAGTCAATTCACTTTTTACAGGCATCTTCTGGGCTTTCTGACAGCCTTCGCATTCTTTCACGATGCGATCGATGTCTGAATCCATGCCAATCCAGTACACATATTGCTTTGCGAGCAATTTCATTCTCGTTTGGCCCGGGTGGCCTTCATGAAGCATTTTTAGGATTCGCGATTGCAGCCTTTTCGGCACAACAACTCGCTCTTTCAGAAACAAACAGCCTCGGTGAATTGACAAGTTATTTACAAGACTTTTGTAGGCGTACAGCGACGAGCCTGGCAAACAGTCTGGAAAAGAACCACTTTTCAGCCATGAGCTTGGCTTCTCGCTCTTGCCCGGCGACCATGACAGCGGTCATCTGCTGGTTCGCGGCGGCGAGCTGCTTGAGCACGTCCTTGAGCTCGGGGTCGTCGGCCATTCTTCAATTCGGGCTCGAATCCTTGATCGCCAATTGTTGTAGGTGTGGCTGTGCGTGAGTTCTTGAGTGCTGGCTCACTCCAAGGGAATACCTTGCGAGAGAGTCGTTTGACACCTGAATTGATTTGGACGAAAGAAGAGAGAACAAAGTATTTATTTACGATAACGGCAATAGCCTAAAAACACAAGCAGCCGGACAAGACGGGCGAAGTGGAAGGAATGAAAAAGACACGCACAAAAAAAGGGTTTGTGCCGGGGGACGGGGGAGGGCGCACACAGGGCGTAGTGCAAAGGGGTGCGCCGTACAGGCATCGCGTAATTGAATCAAAAGACTTTCTTTTCTTGCTTCCGCAACACTTGCAGTTTTCAAAATTCTTTCTGCTTGCTTGAATGAGAATACCTAGTCTAGCGTTAATTTTCAGGCGACTCATCCTCGGGTAATTTCTCCAATGCCGATGACTTCTCCAAAAGCCATCTAGGCTTGTAGGAGCCAATTTTACAATCTTTCGAATTTGACAATTCACACCAGAAAAATAATTCATGGCAAAAATATTCAGTTATGAAGTTATGAAGTAGATTAATTGATTATTACCGCTATAACCTTCCTCATTATGATCCAGATGATGACGCATTCCATATCCACTTGAAAACGTGGATGATGAAGAAATACGAAAAGTGCGAAACAAACGAATCAAGAAAAGGCGGACGTCGGCATGGCGAACAGGTCCTTGACCCAATAAACATGAGAAATAACGTCGTAAAGATGCTCCGACAAGTGAGCCTTCTGTATGCATTCTGAAGTTCGATTTTCTCCGAAAATTGTAAAAAGCCGATGATCAGAACTAGCACAATTGGGATCCGGAAGACCTAAAAAACTGCTCTGCAAGCTTCTCGGCTCCGTAAACGAGCGAAAGTGCAAAAACCTAAAAGCATCGATTTTTTTTATGCCCAAGAATGGAATTCCCGGACCAACATACGTTTTTTTTCCGTTGAAAATACTATATTTGCCTACTATTCTCTATTTTTCAAAATACCTTATAACTTGAGAAACAAACGGCTATGAAGGACACTCGTTTTTTTTCTGGAAAGCAGATCGAAAATACCAAATTTGTGACATTGGGGCGAAAGCCCTTTTGGCTAAACGGCTAAACGAACAGCTTTAAATTCGATTCTGGCAATTTCAAGTTAAATTTCTCATCTGGCCGAGCCATTAAAAGTCACGCAAACGCATTCGCATATCCACTTCAAAACGAGGAAAAAGAAAAAACCAGAAAGTTGCAAAATAAATGCAAGAAGAAGCCGCGGACAAAGCAACCCCAAAACTTTTCCACCGTACACTGCATCGCATGCATCGAATCACCCCGCATGGAAATCCGCGACAACATAAATTTTTCATCGTTGAAAATACGCTATTTTCCTCTATTCTATAGTTTTGGAGCTATCGTACGACTGGAAAAATGACAATGGCGCGGAAAATTTGCTTGGCTTACGCGTCTGAGCAAAGACTTTTCGACATTCCGGGCCTGTCGAGGTTCGGCACCCGCTCTACCAACACAAAATCAACCTGTCCAAGAAGTACTGCAAATTAACAACCGGATTACAGGTACTGTATTTTCTCTAATATAACCCAAGGGGGTTGTTTTTTAGCGGAGGGCTTATATTTTTTTATCGACAGAAATTCGAAATTCGGGGTTAAAACAGCCGGATTTTGAGCAAAAATACATTTTTTTTTCCCTATGGGCAGCTTCAATCGCTCAAAGTCTCTGTGTTTTTTTCGTTTTGTCGTTTTGTGGCGCGTGAGTGCACATTCAAAAAAATAATAAAAAATAAGAGATAAAAAATAGGTAATATTAAGGGGAATACGGTAATATAGGCTTGAAGTGGTGAGATTAATTGTCCAATTTCAGCGTTAAACCACCCAATGACGATGCGAGAAGAACGTCCCCGTGTCAAAGGAGGATGATTTCGTGATCTCGACATGACAAAAGCCACCGGTAAGAGTTTAGTTTTTATACAAAATATTAAAAAATGTAGAAAATTAATTGATTAAAATATTAGAAAACAGATGGAAAACTAGACTAGAGAAAATAATTTTAAATCAATCTATCCAAACCACGTCCAAATCGTATTTTTGGTAGTATTATTTTGAGCTGAAATTAAAACTCGGAATTGAACTTTTTGACGCCTTATCGAATGTTGTCTTTCAAAAACAAAAATGGTGCAAATGGCGAAAACTAGGATTTCAAGCAAATTTTAAGAGGTTATCTCGTTTTTCCAAAACTGTTAAATGATGTTATTTTTTTCTAAAATTAAAACTCCAAGGATCATTTTTGATGCTCTTTCGCACCGGGTCAAAAAGCCACAAAATAGCAAATAGCTAGGACTTCGCCAATTATCCGGAAAAATTTGACGTCGGTTTTTTTCTAGCACACTCGGAAGTAGAAGGAGGAACCGGCCGAACACGTCGAGCTACGAAAGCGACTGCAGGAGGGAAGGGCTCATACACAGCACATAAGATACCAAAGGGTATTTCTACTTCTTGATCACAAATAATCAACAATATTTCCAGGTTCGAAAGCGCAGAACAAGTGCGAGCCATCAGGATGTAAAAGAAGGAGCGCTGTGCGCGTCCCCAAATAAGCAACAAAGTCTAGACATTTTCTAATGCTATAAACACTTTTGGATCATATCCAAGCACCGAAATGAAAATGCAAGGGGGTAAAGTCACTACCCCGAAAGTCACGACCCCGAAAAGTCACTACCCCGAAAAGTCACTACCCCGAAAAGTCACTACCCCGAAAAGTCACTACCCCGAAAAGTCATTGCCCCGAAAGTCACTACCCCGAAAAGTCACTACCCCGAAAAGGCACTACCCCGAAAAGTCATTACCCCGAAATAATTTTCATGATTTTCATAGGAAAACCGCATGAAAACTGGATTTTTCCGGGAAAAACAATGCTATCATTTTTCGGGGTAAACGATTTCGGGATAGTGACTTTTCGGGGTAGTGACTTTCGGGGTAGTGACTTTTCGGGGTAGTGAGTTTCAGGGTAGTGACTTTTCGGGGTAGTGACCGGACGCCAAATCCAAGGCATGGCGGAAACTTGGTAAAGGCCCTTAAAATTCTGTGTCGGGACTTAAGATCCTCTCGAAATTCGATTTTGCCAAGATTTAAACGCACAAATTTCAATATTTTTCATTATTACAACGACTACACTGGATTTTCGCGTGGCTTGGACGCCTTGTAAATTTAAACGATCCGAATACTTAGAACCATTGGCTTCGGATATTGGTAATTTAATAGGTCAGCTTATCAAAAAATCAGCCTAAATGGATCCTGCCGGAAACCGCTAAATAAAAAATGAAGCTGTAAATCCGTCCGGTGGAACGCTTTTCCTCTCTGGCGTCTCTCATTCTTTTGCGAGCCCTTCCCGGTTCGACCGGCGGCCAAAAAAATGGCACGAAAATCGATGCGTGGCACCCGGGCGTTCCCTTCGCAACATTTCTCAGGCTACACTCTTTGCAAATTACTTTTTTTTGTGTTCTGGATTATTCTTAGCAATTTTTTATTTTTATAATTTAGAAATTAGGAATATCCCAATTTTTATAGGATTTGCAAATTTGCTAAAAGTTTCCAGCATTTTTGCAATTGTTTAATTTTACCTTCTGAATTACTGACGTCAAATAGTGTTTTTAATTTATAAAACTTTCTAAAAGTAGCTCCATAAAAAATAATGCCAAAATGAACTTCTTGAAAAACCTGCTTTTGATATTTTTTAAATTTTTATCTTGAAGCGCTAAAGGTTTTGATACTTAATAATAAGTGTTGATTCCTAATCATATCGATTTTCATATTTCTGATATATTCGTTATACTTTCATACATTATATTCTGGCTTTAGCTACCCTACAAAATTTAGATGAATCTCTCACGCTCGGGCAATTCCGCCAAAATTTTGGCGATTTCACTCAAGAATCGTCACAATTTTACTCGAAGAATAGACACAAACCAAAAGTTTTTAAAAAATTTTAAAGTAGCTTTCAAATTAAATTCCAAAACGAAATATTCACCCCGCAACAAAACGATAAAAAATAGTTAAAAACAGCAATACGATAAACAATATTTCGGCAACGGAGGAGGCGGGAGGCGACAGTCGTTAAAACCTCTTTATCAAAAATTCGCCTAAACGCCATTGGAAAAACTTGATGGTTACCCGGAAAGTCCCGAGTAACGGGCCACAACAAATTCGGAGAACGTTTCCTAGGTGCGAATGCTTTTCGTTCAAATAATCGATCCTCAAAGAAAGAGCGTCCAAAAGAACTATCCGTACTCAAGATCTGGTGTTAATATGTGAATAAAAAATGATGTGGCAAAGCAAAATGCACCATAGACGTTCGAGCAGATCCGCTCGGCCAGGCCGCATAATTTTCGTCATTTGCGCCGGAAAAACAGTAGCCAGCAAAAGCCTCTAAAGCGGACACGAGCCCGCAGGAACAAACTATGGCGAGGGCAACTGTGCCAAAAAATCATTTTCAAATTTGAATACGGTTGGATCAGCTCAGGCCGTAAAACGAAAGGAAAACCCCTAAGTGCGATGAATACAAAGCCGTTCTAAATTTGGATGGCGTTCCCTAGGTGTGAATGCTTTGCGTTCAATTAATTTGTGGTCAAAGAAGACGGCCAAGAGAGCTCAGCACCGTCTTTATTTTTAATAAAAGAAGAAAAAATGATGTGGCAAGGCTAAATGCACCATAGACGTTCGAGCAGATCCGCTCGACCAGGCCTCACAATTTCCGTCAGTTTGGGCCGGAAAAAACAGTAGCCAGAAAAAAGCCTCTAGGCCGGCACGACCTCGCTTCCATGAAATTTGGTAAAGGCAACTGCGCCAAAGAATCATCTTCAAATTTGGGTCCGGTTGGATCAGCTCAGGCTCTAAAACGAAAGGAAAACCCGGAAAGTGAAGAATACAAGGCCACAATAAATTCGGAGACAGTTTCCTAGGTGCGAATGCTTTTCGTTCAATTAATCGATCCTCAAAGAAAGAGCGTCGAAAAGAACTATCCGTATACAAGTCTAATTTAAATAAGGGAGGAAAAATGATTTGGCAAGGCTCAAAACACCATAGACATTGGTAAAGATCCAATCGTCTAAGCCTCACAAATTCCGTCATTTTGAGCCGGAAAAAAAGCCAGCAAAAGCCTCCAGGCCGGGACGCGGCGCTATGCAACACACGATAGCTGGTGCAACTGGGTTAAATAAATTATACCCTAGTTTGGATACCAACGGATCAGCTGAGGCGGAAAAATGTAAGAATTTGCCTGATAAAGCTTTCCGAGTGGTCTCATTCCCATCCGTGAATTCCCAAGTGAATCCCCAACCAAAATAACGACGAAGTGTGAGAACATTAAACCGTTGAACCGCAATCCCACTCATTTAGTAATCAAAAGAAATTAGAATAAAATATGGAAAAGTTAGAATCACAATAATAAGTTAGAAGAAATCAAGGTTGAAATCAATGTAATTTTGCGGGCGGAGGAGAGCAAATGCAGCTTTTTTGTACCGCGGGGGTTCGGGGATATTTTTTGAAAAAGAAAGACGGTCGATAATTGCTGCATGGCTCAGCAGAAAGGATTACAGCTAAGAATCATGTGACCAGTCCAACATGAAGCGACTTGCTGACTACAAGAAAGGCTAATGAAAATGAGAAATCAAAAACAATGGAAAAAGAATTTAAAGATTACCGAAGATACTGAAAGTGTACTTTAAACGCAACGCGTTTGCCAAGCGATACAACCAATACCGAGGGCTGTATGGATCGTTACCTCTTAAATTATTTACCCATTCAAAAGACTGTATTACTCCGTACAAAAGGGCTGGACAAAAAGATGGCTTTCTACCCACAAGAATGGCCAACATCCGTGCAAAAGGCCTTTTCCGACCGCATACCATTGGTGGGATTTTTGAAAAATTGGATTTCGAATCCGCTTCGAACTCATTGCTGCTTGACTCAGCAACCAATCCACGAATACATCGGCATATCTCGGTGGGTCTATGGAATTTTAGAGACGGGTACGAATTATAGAATGGAAATTTTCACAGGGGTGCGCAAGGTAATTAAAAATTTGAGACGTTCACAGCAACCTTCGGCCCGGTGGCTACCTTCGTTTTAAAATGAGACCCCGTCCCTTTTTATCTATTTGATTTTTCATTTTGCAAAACTCGATGAAATAAGCTTTTTCGGTCATTGTAAAAAATGTTTCAACATTTCAATTTGAACAAAGGCCCGAGGTTAGAGTCTAGTATACCCCCCCACCCCCAGCTAGCATCCCCCCCCCGCCCAAGTTGTCCATTTAATGCGTAAAGTTTCTCAAAATGTTCCTCTCGTCGTATACTCCATTTCGATAGATTTTATTAACGAAAATAAAGAAAGAAAAAGAAATAAAGCTTAAGCAAAGATTGGTTTTTATTGGGGTGACAGCCCTCCCTTTCCCCATTGTAAGGGGCGCCGCGTTGCAACACTATAGTTGCACAGCAACAATAAAGAAATTGCTTATAAAATTGTTATTTGTTATTTTTCTTCTAAAAAATTGTATGGCAATGGAGTATTCGACGTGAGGAACACTTCGAGATCTTCACGCAATGATTGGAGAACTTGGGGCAAAGGCTGGGGGGGGGGGAGGCGCGGGGGTAAACTGGACTCTAGCCGCGCGCGAAAACTACCATTCCCAGCGAGCTGGAAGTTTCTGTGGACACTTCAAATAGCCAAACTAGTAAAAGAGACGAAAATGATCGATTCATCTCGCGTGATTTCCAATACTCAAGCTAACCTTTAGATCATGAATTGTGATGAGGCGACAATGACCGACCTGCTCTCGGCGATCGTCGGGCTCTACAAAAGTAAAGTGTTCTTTACCATACGTTTAAATTATAACTAAAATTTCAGAACACAATACCCCCTACCTGAGGACCGCCCTGCAGGCGTCCTTTGGGATCGCAATGGGCTTGGCAGAAACAGAAAGGTGGGTGATCAGACTCGATATGATCTAACGAGGTGCTGGTTTTTTGTGTCGTCGGGGTTTCGAGATGGGTCAGGCACAGGCAGGCCCGTAGCGGAACCGAAATTTCGGGGGGGGGGGGCCCAAAAATTTTGGCGACCTCCCCCCGGTCGCCACTTTTAAAACATCCGAAAATCGCGTCAATAATAGCGCCGCAGGCAAAAAAAAATCGCAAAAAAGCGTTCGCTACACTCAAATTCGTGTGAAAACACGGCAGAAAACGCGCCGCAGGCGAAAATTTTCTATGAACAATTGATTCACCAATAAAAAACCAGCGCCGCAGGCAAAAAATTTTGAAAAAATAGGCTTCATATAAGTAAAAACTGTTTGAAAAACAGTAATAAACAGCGCCGCAGGCAGAAAAACTTTTGTAATTAAAAATCATAAGGGTCCCCCCTTATGAATTTTTCAGACCTCGACCGATTTCGGGGGGCAGGGCCCTGGCCCCCTCCTACGGGCCTGGTCAGGCATATCCCGTGCAAAATCCACCAAATCTGTTCAACAAATTCGCGAAATCGCGATTTTGCAAATGTTATGAACGTCTTAGGGCCGAGAAACCCACAAAATGAGCGGCTTTCGATGGGTTTTCTAATTTAATTGATTCATAACTTTCGAAAAATCGCGATTCCGCCAAATTGGTAAACGCCTTTTCTCCAACACTCTATCTTTTATTCAGGAAAACTTAGCCCTAAAACACGTATTCCAAAACGATCAAAGCCAAAGAAACTCGATTTTCGAATGCAAGAAGGTGAGCGAATGCTTCCTGAAGCTTAAAATTTGCTTAACATGAAACTAATTTTAGGTATTAAGCTGCTCAAATTAAGTCTTTCCAGGAACAATCCCTCTCTCTTTGAACCACCGGAATACCTAACTACGTGTACAATCTGAGGCAATTTTTGTTTAGACTTCTTCGAAATCCTCCCAATTTGGTTCAAAATCTTTCCTTAAATTCATCGATCGCAACAGACAATAAAATAAAAACCATCAAACGGTAATCTTGTCTTTTTAGAAACCGCTCTTCGCCTGAAGCATGCCTTACCTAGAAGACGGAGGATGGATGATGTACGCTTCGGAAAGAGCCAAATAGACTGCTAGCCAAAGCCAATGGGGTTAGCGTTCAAATTAAAATAAATATAATTTTAGCAAAACCGCCAGCCAGGAAAAATTCAAGAAGATCCGACTCCAAAGCCGATGATCTCTGCGCAAGATGGAACTGCTAAACAGACCAATCCTGTGCATGATTAAGGTAGGCCTGATTAATCAATCAAAATAATAATTAGCGAATAAAGAAATATTCAAAACCTGTATTGATATTTTAAAAGTCGGTTTGGTCGAAGCGCCTATGATCTAACCAATCAATTTTTCTCAGCAACACGTGCAGGCGAATTTTTTAAGCAAAGTATTGTAACACAAAAAGCTATAGCGAAAATAAGGTTGATTTGCAAGCTTCGTGGATTTTTTACGGATTTAGATCTCGAATTTTTGGCAAAAATGAAGAGTAACCTAACTAAATTTTTTGAATTGCAATTGAAAAATTGACAAATTCTACAAAATCGGCATGCTCTTTGCGACAACATGGTCAAAAACAAGAAAGTCAGTTGCCCTTTTCGAAAGAAAAGCATTTTAGCGTTAATATAAAAAAAATAGTGTTTGTGTGTGTGTGCATTTGCATGCAACTTCCGTCAGGGTGTCCAGAGGATATCTCGAGAGGAGATGGGTTTGAAGAGGTGTTTGATGCGTCATTAGATGCGTAAGGAGCTGGAGATGACTGCACACATATCAGATTTTGTAAAATGTGGTGTTTTCGACAATAAAATTAAGTTTTTCTTAAAAATTTCGACACCCACTTTGTTAGGATAAAATTAGCATACGCCGGAAGTTGCTGTAGCCTATATAAAGGTTCAAAGGGAGCGTTTTTCATTTTTGTCATCGGAATTGGGGCCAATTATGCAAAACGAAGAACATCATAGGGTTAGACGGGCCCAGGGTTGAAAATTCGCGAAGCGGCTTTTCAACCCTGGTTTAGCGATAACTTTTTAGTCTTATGGTATTTTTCTTAGAAAATTCGGCTGCACACAATCTTTATGCGTTCGATCGCTATTAAAAATTGGGTTTCGATCGGATAGAAGACGACCAAGTGCCGAGAGGGTTTTTTTGGGACACCCTGTATAAGCAATCCGAGACAACCTTGAGATCTATAAACCACCCAATTTTTAGATTGAAAACAACCTCAACCCGCCCGAAAAGCTCGAGTGACATTTGATAGAACAGAAAGAAGAAGATCTACCATCCGGTGCGCTGAAAATGCAACAAAGAAGCTCCACGGCAAAACCTGAATGTTGAGTCACCATAATAAATGGCATGCTCCTAAAACATTTGCTAAACACTGTATACTGACAGCAAAATCCTTGCTTTTTCGAACACTTTTCCTCCCTGGTGTCTCTCATTCTTTCGTGAGTCTTTTCCGTTCAGTCGGCGACCAAAAAATGAACAAAAATCGATGCGTGGCGCCCGGGCGTTCCCTTCGCAACATTTCTCTGGCTACTCACCTACTAGCTTTCTTTGATCCATATATATTTTTATCAAATCGATTTTGATGTCCAATTTTTCTTAAAATTTTTAATAATAGATTTTGCGCTTCCGAAAATTCTTTAATTGTCGGATGAATCAAATTTATTCGAATTAATTCTAATTTATTTGAAAATATCAAAAAATATTTCCAAAAACTTAATAAATAGGATTTTAAAACTTAGTTAACATATGAATTGGTTTGTATAAGCTTGATTTTGTTTGGATTTGAAAATAGAAATATAAAAAACGTTCCCGAAAGCTTGAGAAATGGGCTCTTTGAGGGTTATTTAATCTACGAATGAAATTTTCTGTTTTACTTTAATCTAACTGGAAACAACAATAAAAATGAAAAACAAATGTTTATTCTTTAAATCGTCTTCATAAAATTCCAATAAATGTACCTCATTTTTGCTTCTATGTATGCGATTTTCTTTTCTGGGAACTCTGATTAGTCCTAAAAATTTAGGACGAACTCCTCGCTCCTGGGCAATTCTACCAAAAATTCTTGATGATTTCACGGAAGAATCGTCACAATTTATGTGTGCAAAATGCAAAAATGGAACTATTTCAAGAATCTAAAGTTATGCATGCTAACCACAAGCGATCGCTGCCAGAAAAGCGGGGGGAAGAGAAGACTTCAGAAGCTTTGCTTGCAATTTATGGAAAATAGAAGAAGCCGGCCAGTTTGAGTATGACTTTATCGAAGTGAGAGCTTCAAAGACTCACAAAAAGCTCTACACCAGATTTAAAGCGGCGAAAGCTCAACCAAAAGCTATGGAACCGTGTGTAATAATGTCATAGAAAAATTATGCCGTAGACCCGCGCCAAATGGCACCACCCTAAGCCGGCACAAATTCCAGGCGGCTCGAAATTTTGAGGCTATCACAAAATGATACACGATTAAATCGCTGATCCTGTACAATAAAAAAATTCAGCCGCTGCACTTCGACGCTTTACTAAAGTATACCCATGGTATATTTAATGAACCCGAGCGCCCAATTAGGCAGCGAGTCGAAGCCGCTGGCCCGAAGCACAATCCAACGAAGCAATAACAAAATGTTCCGCAAGACTTCAACGCACTAATGAAATACACCGAGGGCATATTGGGTGAGCAGAAATGAGAATGAAGGTTTTGGAAAATATGCAAAGTTTTAATGAACAAGCTACAGATTACGCTATGTAATAAGTTGGAGCGGAAGGAAAGGAATAATTTTTGAAGCGAGAAACCCGGCATAAAATTCAAGATCCAGATTTATGGCAACAGTTTCAAGGGCTATGCGGTCGATTTGGGATTATAATACCAAGTTGCCATTGACAAGCGACAACCCAGGAGTACAAAATCTAAATATTGTGAAAACTGCAAAACCCTGAATCTGCATCTTCACAATGGTCGCAGCTGCATGTTAATATTTATCCGAAGAAATTTATGGCAACGTGAAGAATGAACAGCATTAAAGGCATCAGCACTTACTGCATCGAGAACCGCAGAAAACACGCAAAATTGAGGTTTTTGTACGTTCTAAGGAAGTGAGAACGTACAAGGCGTACTCCGAAGACATGCCATTACACTAACACAAGAGATACAGGAGCAGCACTAAGCCAGAAATGAGTATGGAATAATTTGCCATGCAAGGAGAGAAGCCAGCAAATTGCCGGAGCAAGAAAACCAAAAAAATCCAAAGATTGGAACAAGCTATTTCGGAATATTAACAAGATTACAAGGGATGAGCTTCGGCATTGGACTGGACGAATCCTGAAAACTAGCCCGGAAGCCTTTCTTGACAAACCAATCGGGTTGAACGAAGGCAATCAAAATATCCTTTGCAGATGCGATCAGGCATAAATGACGTCAAAAAAATTTGTCGAGAAATCAGACTTGTCGAGGACTCGAATTACAAGCTGTTTAATGCAAACGATTCGTCTCGGCCATATTTATGTAATTTCAAGTGCGCTTTCATAATACGATGCTCATACTTCTAAAAAACCGATTTCCATTCTCCACAAAATTAGGAAAACGGGCATCGAAAGCTTTTTCTTCAGAACCTGGGATTTTGTCAACACCTGGCCAATATCAGTTTACTTGAAGCAAACGATATATGTCGGCCATATTTTTCAAATTTCACGCTGGCGTCGTAAACCATGTTTTACACACTTCAGCATCGCTCGACGAAAAATAACCATTGTGGAACCGAAACAGTCCAACATGTAAGGCCTCACTGAAGACAATTGGAAAGTGAAAAACGTACAAAATCATGGCAAACCAAAACAGTCGGCAAATTTGCGGCCATAATCTACAAGCTGGCCGGAAGCCTTGGATATAAATTTTTATAACATTTTATCAAAGCAGCGCGACTTTGCCGTGCGAGCGTTAGACGGCAGGATTTGATTTTTTGTATGGACTAGAAAATGCAGAACTATTGAAGAAAAAACGCGAAAAATTCTTTGAGCTGAAATATTTTTTTTACGATCAAGGCTGCGCAAATCATTCTACGAATCTGCCCAACGGGAGAGGACGAGTGCATTTGGGGAAGAAGATGGAAAAGAGTCATGAAGCCAAAACGGCTCAAGGAACTTAATTAAAGCACGATAGAAAAGTTATAAACTATTTTACAAGTTTCAAGGAAAACGAAAGCCGCAAAAAGGTCCTGACAAAAAAAGCAGATGCACGAATAATTGGGCAACACGTGAGAACATACACAATATTCGACTAAAAAGTGAAGCGAAATCCAAATCAATGCAAAATAAATAAAAATGGATGCGAGTTCTGGAGCTTTCCAGTAAACGAGCAGGCTAAACTCCATTCGGATACTGCCAATAGACGTTAGAAAATGAAAGACGGAAAAGGGACGATCGATGACAGAAATGACGAAGAACAATGGGACAGCCGAATCGGGATCGTAGCATATAGCGAGGCCTGCCACAATGTGAAGAGCATCAATTATGCAAATGTTTTCAGCAGCAGCTCGGGATTGGGCGGCATGTTGGCCAAAGCCTTCGCCTAAAAAAGGGATGAATTTCAAGCGGACCATCAAAAGTCAATCTTATCACGACTGCAAAGCGAAAAACAAGCATCCCATTTTGCAGGGGAAGCGAAGCGGAAAATCGACGATTGGGACAGGAAGCACATTCCCAGGCGACTGAGCCTAATGTGAACCTAGTAGAAAATAAATTATTGTCTAGCCGATAACAAGGTTATGCAATTATGGATTATGCAAAATTCTGGAGCTCGTGGGGAAGCTGCTGACAAAGCCAAAGACACCTATTCGCTACGGGAATCAGCGACGGTGTAAAGGGCATCAATTATGCAAATGGTCTGAGCAGCAGCTCCGGATCAGGCTCCCATCAGCGCGAGAATTCGTCTAAAAAGCAAATTCAGGCGGAAATATTGGCTGAAGAAATATCAACGTAATCTTGACTGCAACGAAACGGCCCTAACCGGCAAGTTTGAGAGCAGCAGAAGTCGCAAAGGTGTGATTGAGAAAAAAGCTAATTTTGGACCGACTGCACTCTGATGTACAGCAAGGAAAGAAAGGAGATCACCGGCCGACAATTAAGATCAATTCAAAATTTTGAAAAATCCTGGAGCTTTTGGGGAAGCTTTTCGGGCAGCCAATGCCAAACTGTTCTGCTACGCGAGCCAGTAACGGTGTAAGGAGCATCAACTATGCCAATGATTTGAGCAGCAGCTCAGAATCAGGCTACACCTCACAGCAAGCATTTGTTTGAAAAGAGAAGAAATAGAAGCGGAAGAATCGACTAAAACTACTGAAACTGTCAATGTCATCGCGAAAGCAACGGAACCACCTTTAACATGCAAGTTTGAGAGCAGCAGTAGTCGCAAAGGTGTGGTGAAGAAAAAAATCCCGGACTGATTGCACGATGTACCACACGTGGTGGAAAAGTGAGACAGCCGGCCGATAATTCAGATCAATTCAAAATTTTGCGAACTTCTGGAGCATTTTGGAGGACTCGCTGGCTCCGCCGACTTTTTAGAAAGGCGAGAAAGGAACTCCAGAAAAGCACAAAAGGTACTCAACCTCCTACCTAGTCAACAACAACTCTCCAGACTCTCTCGTGAAACGAACGGAATTTTCAATGCAAAGAAGACGATGAAATCGAGGCCACGAAATTACGATCAGATGCAACGAATTACGCGCCAAAAGCCCCGGGAAAATGCAATGGAAAAGAAATACCGAATTGGAAAAAATTGACCAAAATCTGAACGTTGCCTTTGAAATCACCAGAAAACAAACCGGACTAAGCAAGGGGAGCCTGAAGAGTTGTGGTGACGCTGGACGTGCCTGTATATCAAACGGGTAAGCCAATGTTTCACCTTTTAGGCGTTTGTAAACCTAAAATATATTCACGTGCAAAATTTTTAGATTTGCAGACCTGCGCGATGGGGTAGGGTCATTACTTCTCAAATCATTAGTTCTAGAATCATTACTTCTAAAATCATTACTGCTAAAAAGTTATTACTTCTAAAAGTCATTACTTCTAAAAGTCCTTACTTCTAAAAATCATTACTTCTGAAAACGTTACTTCTAAAATTTGGTACGCCGGATTATCAGTTTTTCGGCACGTTTGGCCGTATTTATGCCCAAAACGAGGCATAGAATTTTAGAAGCAACGACTTTTAGAAGTAATGATTTTAGAAGTAATGACTTTTAGAAGTAATGACTTTTAGAAGTAATGATTTTAGAAGTAATGGTGGGTAGCTCAGGCTAAGCCTAAGCCTAAGCCCTGCGCGATCCTACCTTATATAATTTTTGAGTGTATGTTGTGTGTGTGTGTGTGTGTGGATGTCACTTTCGAGGCACGATTTGAGGGCCTTCCCGTGTCCAAAATGCCCTGATTCTCCGTCACCCGGGGGAATCGACCCTTCTGTTTCCGATGCCGTCTTCAGAATTTCGATAAAATACAAGTTTACAAAGTTAAAGGCGGTTTTGTTCATTTTTGGGGGTACCCGAAGGCTAATTTGCATAATGCGAAAAATACAAACTTCCTCATTCTTGCCAGTTGCACTCGCGCGTGTGGTCGGGGCGGGAGGGGGCCGCAGGACCCGAGCTATCAGAAAGTCAAACTTTTCATGCAAAGGCCGCATTCCAGCGCCCAAGGCCCGCGAAGCGGGTTTTGGGCGCTGGTTGGGTAATGAAAAAGCAGAGGTATTCGAAAACATCATGAAAATTTTGGGGATTTTTTTAGAAGTCTGCGCGTATTCAAAGCAGCGCACGCTCACTTTTCGACAGTACGCTAGTCCGAAAAATCATTCTTCCGCAAAAATTAGAGGTCCTAAGCTGTCCGTATGTCTGTCTATCTGTCTGTCCAAGGCTTTGCTCGTCTAGACCTGTCGAAAGCATCCAAAAAACCACCAATTTTTCTGGTGTTGGATGCAAATTTTTCGAAATAGTGGTTTTTCGGAATCATGACTTTTCGGGAAAGTTGCTTTTCGGATAGGTTAACTTATAATTCATTTACATATCAAATATATTGGATCCTAAACCCAATATTTAGAATCGACCCTATAATTGTCTACAAAGGCGAGATTGGACCACAGCCAGAGAACAAAAAATGTAATTTTCGCGCTGACGCTTTATTCGGAATTTAGGAAAAATAACTGAAACGGAGACGTCACTGACGCAACCGAACGTATAGCTTCATTTTTGTAGGAATAAGGATGACAGAAAAAAGAGGTCAGTCCCAGATTTTAATTATACAAAATATAGTCTAAGCTAAGTCCTCTAAGAAATTATGTTATGAATATCTCAATGTTTGGAAATTAACTAGAACAATATTAATAAAAAATTACTATATAAATAAAGTTATCGTGGCATCCTACTTTTCAGATACGAAATAATTCTTCATCGACTTCATTTCAAGCGACGTGAATATTTGGCTCAACAGTAGAAAAACGTGAGAACGGCATCTGGGCGGTGCACAAAAAGGTAGTTTTATTTTAACAAGACAATCCGTAATTCTAGAATTCTAGGATGGGAAATTCGCAACAGCCCAAGGTGGCATTGGGATACAACGAGTTCTGAAGCCTTCAACGTGTCGCGCTCCTGGAAAAGGACGACGCAGTGCGGCAGGTAACCTAACTCCTTTATTTTGAGCTCCAAATTCATATAGCTTTGATATAAAATTTAGGATACCGACAAATTTAAAAGTGAAGGTAATAAAGCGCTATCATAATATCTGAGAAGCTCATGCAAATTAGCCAATTCTATTTCGCAGATTTGTTGCAGCACGAAACATTCCCCCGTAAGGTATCATAAAAATATTTAAGAGGTACCTATCACCTACTGGAACTTTAAGTCAAACTATTAAAATTAATAATACTGACCTTTTCAGGAGACAATGAGGCGGCGGCAAACTCGCCAACCTGCCACCACTTATTCGAATAGGGGAAAAATGGTGTTAATGACTGGATTTAAAAGGTGAGCAGAAAACGCATGACCTATCCTATCCCGTAAGGCATCACTAAAAAAGGTTAAGGTAGTTTGAGTTGAGTTTTTGTAGTTAGACACCTTTGTCGCGTGACGATGACCTTTCATGAAAACAGCGGTACCAATCGGCAATTAAGGGTCAGTTAACTTAAAACAAAAGCGTAATATCTAATTCCAGGCGTAAACTGTACTCAGACCATTTAATTCCAGTCTTAAACTGTATTGTCAGCAAATGATTTGGCAGCCTCTGCTCAATACATGGTCCGAGCGAAATATAGTGACAGCTGGCCCATGATTTTATTTTCGAGTCCTGTGGGAGGTGATAGCCGTTCTTCAAGGTAGCTATGCCACGAGGCGATTATAGGTGGAGTTCCGCCTTTTAATCTGAAAAACGTCCGATTCCAGGCTCACGCTCGAATGTCGGATCGATAGATTTTGGAAGAACGATGTTGCCGATCTACGTCAGTTTTTTGGTGTAAAGAAAGAGCATGAGCTAAACAACCAAAATAGGAGCCGACCAATTAACGTTCACAATCATTAAATTCCAGGTGCCGTGTATATGGATGCGTCTATCTTTGAAGGCTGCACCTTGCAAGGCTTCTGGCAATGACGCTGTTTTGCTTGAATAGTTTATGAATATAAAGGATGCTCTGTGTTTCACTGAAAAGGCACAAAAATTGTTTTGGCTCTTGCGTCGGTATTAACAAACTTGGAAAGCAATATATATGATTACGAGAATCGAAATTCAATATAGTTGGTCATCTCTCCCTCTCTCCCTCTTTCCCCCCTCTCTTTTTCTCCCTTTCTCTTTCTTTCTCTCGATCTCTCTCTATCTGCATGTATGTGGCTTCGAAATTCAAACCTTCAAAAATCCGTTCGAAATGGCTTTTCCCCCTCGGCCCTCTCATTTTCTTGCCGGCCGTTCCGAGGTAGCAAAAAATGGCGAGAAATCGATAGACAATGGCAGCCCGGGGGGCAGCGCTAATGCAACATTTTGTCGCTATACGGACGGTTTTCTATAATTTTTGGCTTTTCTTTAGCAGTTTAATTTCATTTAATTTTTCTTTAAACTGTATTAAATTTAACGCTTAGAATTTGAAAAAGCAAAGGCTTTTCCAATTGGCGTTATGCGCCCTTGGTTCACGATTTACAACCATAATTCGAAATGAGCTGATTTTGCTTAAGTCATTACCTGCATTCTCTCCACATCTCTCTCTCTCTCTCTCCTCTCTCTCTCTCTCTCTCTCTCTCTCTCTCTCTCTCTCTCTCTCCCTCTCTCTATCTCTTTTTCTCTCTCTGTCTCGCTCTCACTCTCTCTCGCTCTTGCTCTCTCTCTCTATCTCTCTTTCTCTCTCTGTCTCGCTCCTACTCTCTCTCTCACTCTTACTCTCTTTCTCTCTCTCTCTCTTTCTCTCTCTCTCTCTCTCTCTCTCTCTCTCTGCCTCGCTCTCACTCTCTCTCTCTCTTGCTCTCTCTCTCTCTCTCTCTCCTCTCTCTCTCTCTCTCGCGATGCCCTAGTTTTTTTTTAAGAAATTCGATTAGTTTTCGATTTAGAATAGCCTCCTCGCTCTTGGGAAATTCTACCAATACTGGCAATTTCATTCAAGAATTGCTTAGAAGATTGAAAGCTAACAAATCGCTTGAAAAATTTGCAAAAATCTGCGAACAGGAATTGAAAGTCCACCAATAGTGTTGAGATCGAAGAAGACAAAACTCACGGAATCCGACACGCTCCTTCGGGCTCAGGGCAGGATGGCGCCTACCCACAACACACATCCACCTACGCTTCATCGACAATTATTGCCCAAAATAGCTGGAAAGCTGATAAAAATCCCAGATGATGCACAAGGTAGCGGAAGTGGAAATGCACTTGACAAGGTTGGGAAAGCCGCTTGAAGAGCGCAAGGAAAAAAATGGCGAAAATTGGCTCTATCCCTGGAAGGATATCCGGTCTTTGACGGACGCCTGTTTGGAATTATGCGAAACGTAATTTTGAAATCTTTCCGAGCCAGCAAGACGCTTGAACAACTGTGCACCATGAAGCTTTTCAAAACGTCTGTACCACCACCATTTTGAAAAAGAAAGAGATAAAGTTGCGATGAAATCCAAAGCTAAATCTGTTGACTCGAAAAGCAGCTTTCGCTTGAGGCTTGAAGCCGTTTAAATAGGCTCCATAAATGAAATGAAAAAGAATAATAAATCTGAACAATTGAATTTTTGGAAGCGTCACCATCATGCTCATCCTATCGCTCCGATGCGGAATGACCTCTGCAAAGAACAGCGAGTTGAAGAAGTTCAGGGCCGAAACAAAAATTGGAAAAGAAGTATTCGAACCAGATACTCGAGCGAATGTTCCCCATCAGAACCAGGCTCGATATATCGGAAAATATTGATTTTTGACTGCGCACGGTGGGGCAGCTTTGTTGCGACAAGTTTAAAAGGACTGGAATTCAGCTAGTGGTGATAATCAAAGCTATTCAACCTGAGATCAAATAAAAAAATCCTACGCTGGAACGCTCACATGCGAAAACAGCATCAATTGTTTCAAGAACATCGTCGGAAAACGGTGGTGTTGCAACAAATTTAATTCTTGCTAGAATTCCACGAATGGGTTTAGCAAGCAGCCTTCAGCCCAAGTACTTTTACAGAATCATTGACTAAACGCGATTCTAACATCCGAAGCGGTGCTATCATCATCCATCTTGAGCATGATTTTAAAGAAGCTCAGTCTAAGGACCTGAAGCAACACTTTCCTTGAATATTGAAAACACGGCAACAGATGCAGAAATTAAATGTATTTTAGCAACGAATCTGAACAAGCCCCTTTTGGAAGCATCCACATGAAGACGAGTCGATCACCTGCCCGAGAAAACTAGAGCGCGCACAGCAAGTTCAAGACGTCCACTGATGATTCACGAAGAGCAGAGAAGCTAATGGAATCGAGCCGCTCGTTTAATTTTGAAATCCCTATCGTGTACAACAGCGGTAAATTATTTTATCTAATGGTCGTAGGCAGCGTGAACAAGTAGAAATCGCACAAAAATTTCCTGGGGACGCCGGAAATGTTACTTCGCGGCCCTAGGTGGAATCGGGCTTTCCACCAAAGAAATGAGGATGAGAGATCACCCACGAAAAATTCCCAATTTACGCAGTGCGGCGGAAATCTGAAACTTCTGGCTATACCACGAAAAATGTGAACCTTGATAAATGTGGATCAATGAACCAACCACTGTTAATGGGGCGCAACGGTCAATGTGATGAAAAATTGAACATTTCAACATAGGTGCGACGGATTGTTCAATTTCGGCCACCTCAAAGAAGAGCAAAAATTTCAAAGCGATACTACCCTTCGCTCGAAATTGTGTAAACTCATTCTCTACACTGGTCCAATATCGAAGGAGCTCCCGCAACAGATGCTGCTCAGAAGGATCAAACCAAAAACCTCGCACAGAGAATCTGTTCCAGCTACATAGAATTGAAGCCCGGGTCCAACAAATATTGGAATATTAAAGCGTATCCGGAAATACGACTAGTCGGCGATCTGCGCCTCAAAATAACTGAATCATTTTGAGGGCAAGACCACTAACCAACGACTATGTTGCTTCGGTGCTAAATTGTGAACGAGTTTAACGAGAAATTAAGAGTTTGAAGATTCAACATATCAACATAGCGTTCGACGGATTCTTCAATTTCGGTCACCTGGAAGAAGAGCGTAAATTTTAAAAAAAGGTGCTACCTATTGCTTTGGAGCCCGATCAAGCGAGATTTAAAAAAATTAAACGATGGGCAGAATCAACCAGGGCTTAGAGCTGTTGCTCAAAATAATGGACCATTTTGAGCAGAACATCCTACACCAAGCTCTCTCCTTCGTCGGTGCTCGTTTCAAAATGGATTCAAAGTGTTATTATAAGTGCAAATAGGACTGCCTCTCCTAACGATTCACGAGCAAACTTATCGGAAACTAGATGCTGCTCAACAAAATGTAGACACAGTGTCAAGCGGTTGCTAGGAGCTCGAGGACGAGCTGCTGCTCAAAATATTTTGGCCAGTTTTAATATGGACCTGGCACAAACGGTTTGCTGCCACGTTATTAATTTGGAGCACGACCTAACAAGATATTCAAAATATCAAAAGCTGCCTAAATTAATTGGCTTTGAAGAGCTGTTGCTCAAAGTAATTGAACCATCTGAGGACATGCCCACATACCAGAGGCTGTGCTGTTTCGGAGCTAGATTGAAAACGAATTCAGGTATGTAATGAAAGTATAAGCGATACCCGCTACTCATGATAAACTTCTAAAGCGCTGCCAAAGACGTGCTCAAAAGAATTCAAGTAGCAACCCGCGAGAGCCGAGGGAGCCCACCATGCTACTCCTGATCGCAATCTACCCAGTGTGAAAACGCTTTGAAAAAGTGCAAAGTGCAAAGTGCGGTTTAACCATGGGGATATTCTTCAACGACTTCCCAAACGTTTGCTCCTTAAAATAAGAGCACTACGCGCCAGAAAATGCAAATTGAAGGCAGCTGGGATCAATCGACATCATGTCGATCTCATGGCCGAAACGGTCGACAAGTGGCGTTGCGTTAACATCACCCAGAATTAGCCCGATAAAGGGTAATTCCGGATCCTTAAAAGTGATATGAAAAGATGTGCTAACCTGATAGATTTTGACTGCAAAACGAGCCAGGAACGGGTTCCATTGTCAAGATGGCAACGTCCCGATCTGGAGCGGCAAGAAAATCGAAGACTCCTTCTATTGTGGACTTTTATACGGTTATAAAGGTAGGCTTTTGTTTTTGCTTATTTTTCTGAAGTTATATTAAGACTTTTAAAGGGATGCGAAAGGTGTTGTAGCCGATTTTTCATGGCGATACATAAAAAAATGCAGATTCCGAGTAGTTTTTCCGCGATGGAACAGGCAATGTAATTAAGGTAATGTACGTAAATAGATTCGTAATTCGTAATGATTTGTATATATATTTTCGAAGATCCTATCTGCGAAAATCATTTTTTGTGACTCAGTTTGTCGAAATTCTTTTTTTTGAAGGTTCGAGTCACTTTTTCAAAAATCATGTTTTCCAAAAACTTTGCGAAAATTAGATTTTCGAAACATGCATAGTTATCTCACGCCCTTTACGGTCTTCTGAGATTCTCCTATTGATAGCTGGAGGCAAAGTTTTCGAAATTCAAATTTTCGGAAAATGAATTTTGAAAAAATGATTTTCGAAAAATGATCTTTGCAAAATCGATTTTCCGAAATACGTTTGTTTTTAAAAAACGCGCCGGCGCTACATTTTAATATTAAAAATTTTCAGTTGACACATTTTGCGGCGCTGCGTGTTTGTTGTCTATTCAGTGTTTTGCTCCAACTAATCTGGTATGAATGCTCTTCAGCCGTCAGCGGTAAACATTTTTGGATCTGGCATTCAAGCATGTTTCAGGTAGTATCCTGCAGAACGTTGATCAAATGCGTCAAAAGTAAATTACATTCGAAACTCCCTGCGTTATGGTCTCCAGGAACAATCCACGAAAGTCGGTGATTTTTAAACTTTACACTTTCAAAAAATTCATAAGAGAATTGAAAATTTACAATTTTTTGGCACGTTTCATCGATGATCTTGAGAGCAATTGCGAATTATTATGCGTCTCTGTTTGCTATCCTTAATTTTATTAACACAGCAATTCTAGAAAATCACGCGGTGGGACTTTATCAAGAAATGGAATGCAACTACGTGCAACCAACTACAAGGATTTTCTGCGATTACTACATCTCTATCGGCATCTTAAAGCTACAAATGGTGTGTTTTTAACGTCTTAGGATGTTGTAAGCTTTGTCACGAGATTTTCCGATCACTCGTTTTGGCTTTACATTGCATAAACGGCAAAACCCTAAAAATTTTGTAAAGGCTATCGACTCGATCGGGTTTTTTTGTCAAAAATGGCCGGTTTTCTGCCAACATCAAAGCGCTAAAAAATTTACTAGTTTTCTCAATACTTCCTAAAAACTAAAGCAAACTACCTACTATTATTGCTAAACTGCTTGTCTTGATTTAAAGGAGAAATCAAAGGTTTTAAAAATTAACCTGTAATTAAATTAAAAAAAATTTAATTTAATTTGAATTTAAATTATATTCAATTTTAAATTTTGACTTAAAAATTAAATTTAAATTTAAATTAAATCACATTTTAAAAATTTTCGCTTAAACGCTTAAAAACCTAGAAAAATGGTCATAGCAAGAAATCTTTAGAGCCTTTAGACATCGTTGCCAATTAGAAGAAAATTTCTGCGATGCGATGCGGCTGCTGTGCAACTGGAGGAATATAGGAAAATGGGCTAAAATATGAAAATGATGAATGTAAGAAGTTTGAAGTGAGGCCAGATATATTTAAGAAATTTTTGAGAAAGCCGGGCTGATACACAATGGACGGCAAATACTGGAACTAAACATGTTGGTACTAAGCGACAACTGAAACGCAACTCCTGGCTCGAAGATGCCAACTCGACAGAGGCGAAACGAGATGCAAGACGCTCCACTTCACTCGTTATTGGGAACAAAACCGAGGTAAATAGAGTTTAATCCTTAGCAATAGAACATTTGGAGCCAGTATCCCGGTAAACATTGAATGTTTTCAGGCAAGGAACATGGATACGCTGGCGTTGTTGCCACCCAGGAATTCCTCCCCCGGCTGCCCGTATATAAGTGCTTTGCACCTCGATGCAGGGGTCTCCTGATCCTTTTCATCCCCTGTGCCTTCCCAATGACTTTCCCCACCAGTCTATAACTAGTCTCCATTATGACCTTATAACCTTATGTGATATATAGATAAAACCATTAGGAATAAATAACTGTAATGCAGCATGGTATATTCAATACAATAATATGACACTATACTATATTAGAAGTGTTGCGGAGCGCCTTCGAGCGCCCCCGCCTTTTCCCTTTGCTCCCGGCCCCTCGCCTATCCAGTGCCCTTTCCACCGTAGCGGGGTCTCTCTCCCCACTGGGCCAGCGATGGCATTTATTTCCCCAGTTCCAATTCGGTTCTAATTTCTCCTCCTCTTGCCGCCATGTTGCTCACCGAATAAACAGTTGTTCGTAAACTGTTCGTCCCGCTGCGCACCACACTCTATCAAGACACAACAACTGGCGATCAGGATGAGATGCCACTACAGCGAGCAGCCGGCCGATGGATTTCACCTCTACGGAAGAGGCCCATCGCGAAGACCGGGTCTGATGCAGCAGCTCGGCGGACGGTGCCCCAGCGAGCCCGTCGACATGGAGCGGCAAGATCAAGCTCATCATTCCTGCATGAGGGAAGGAGGCGTGCCCGCAGTGCCGTCTACCTTGGTGAAGCAGCGTCGAACGTTGAAGGAAGGAAGGAAGGATGACCGTCGCCCAAGCGCGCGCCAATTAATAAAGGAAAAAGCAAATAAGTTTGACTTATTGTACGTTGTGATTTGATCCCTCGTTTTGCTTGTACGCAGTTGTACATTGTCCTTTTGGTGTCTCCTCTTCCTCTCCACAATTTCCTTTCTTTTCGTTTTGTACAGGGGGAGGTGTTGCGGAGCGCCTTCGAGCGCCCCCGCCTTTTCCCTTTGCTCCCCGGCCCCTCGCCTATCCAGTGCCCTTTCCACCGTAGCGGGGTCTCTCTCCCCACTGGGCCAGCGATGGCATTTATTTCCCCAGTTCCAATTCGGTTCTAATTTCTCCTCCTCTTGCCGCCATGTTGCTCACCGAATAAACAGTTGTTCGTAAACTGTTCGTCCCGCTGCGCACCACACTCTATCAAGACACAACAACTGGCGAGCAGGATTCCGAACTCACGCAAAATCACGGAAGATCCCCAAGCCAAAAGCCACTCAAGCCGCCGCCCAGTCAAGTCAAGTTGGTCAAGCAGATGTGGATCAAGCGCAAGGACAAGAAGCTCTACATGGCAAAGAAGCGGCGTCATCCCATGGAGGATTCGATTGAAAGGGAAGTCTTTTTGCCCCTATTTGGCCTTCGCACTTTCTATGTGCCCGGATCGCGTGGCCATGCCCGTCGACAAGAAGGACCAAGTCGAAGCGCGCCGTCTTCGCCCTCAAGCGCAAGAAGGAAGGAAGGATGTCTCCAGCCAAGGACGACAAGAAATGCAGAGAAGGCCGAGACGAATGGGTCAACTACGCGGCATCCGGCTGCCGCTCGCCCAGTGGAACTCCGTCAAGGCCAGCCGCAACTTCTTCAAGGAAAGAAGAAAAAAAAGACCGCGGTGTCTTCACGTTGAGAAGCCCGCGGCAACGCCCGGCCGTTGATAGCCGTTGAAAGACCGGGATGCCGACTTTTTTTGAAAAAGTCCCCGGCAACGTCCGGCCGTTGATAGCCGAGAAAGACCGGTGCGCCACCACCGAGTGCCGCCGGCCGATGGTACACCTCTATGGAAGAGGCCCGTCGTATAAAGACCGGGAAGCAGACTTTTTTTTGAAAAGTCCCCGGCAACCTCCGACGGTTGATAGTCGAGAAAGACCGGCGCGCCACTACCGAGAGCGGCCGGCAGATGGTACACCTCTATGGAAGAGGCCCGTCTTGGAAAGACCGGAAAGCCGACTTTTTTGAAAAGTCGCCGGCGACGTTACGGCCGTCTGTAGCCTGAAAGACCGGGACCCAGGCTTTTCTGAAAAGCCCCCGGCAACCTCCGACGGTTTGTAGTCGAGAAGACCGGCGCGCCACTACAGCGAGCAGCCGGCCTTCTATAATACTGATATTAATCTGTGCCCTCACCGACGGGGCCACAGGCGTGGACTTCTAAAACATCTCGATTGCAAAACCCGAGATAGCACCGAAGTTTCCGGATTCAATGATTTCCGGCCGAAAATTGAACCCTGTTTATCATGTCGGATTTTTGGCAAACCGTGCTATTAAAGTTGTATTTTTGATAAATCAATCTAAATATCAAATCATTTATTTGTGAAATAAAAACACACTAGGTCGAGAGTTTATAAAATTGCAGCTCGCTCTCTCCTTTCCCTCTCTCTCTCTCTCTCTCTCTCTCTCTCTCTCTCTCTCTCTCTCTCTCTCTCTCTCTCTCTCAGGCTCTCTCTCTCGCACCCTCTCCCCTCCGTAATTTCGGTGACGCTTCGATGAATTTTGTGAATTTGGCGATGCAGCAAAAAATCATAGACGATGCGGTGCAAACACTGGCTTTCCCGAACGCTTTTCCTCTCTGGTGCCTCTCAATCTGTTGCGAGACGTTCGGCTGCGTGCAAAAAATGGCGTAACAATCAATAGACGCTGCCTGCCCGTGGCAAGACAACCGTTTCCCTGTGCTAAATCTTATAAAGTCCGTATTCCGCGTCCAATAGCATCATAATTTTGTTGTTACTAAACATTAATTTAATAACCTTTAATTTTAATTGAATAATAATTAATTCGAAGCCTATAGAAACATTCGTTAATTACAGATTTACTTTAATTTTTCGTATTTATTTATCACTTTCTTACACAAATAACTATACTTTAAAATGAATGAAGCATTTGGTCAATTTAGTAGGGTTTCGTTAGCCCGCTTTTACTGTCCATTGGGTAAAAGTTTTGCCAAAGACGCAATATGTTAAGCTCGCAAGGAAGTCAACATCAAAAACCCTCTTTACCCAAAAAGATACATGCTAAACTTGCTCCATATCTTGAACATCATAACCCAAATGTTAGAGCCATAGCTACAGCTTCTATCCATAAATACAGTCAACCTAAAACCCTAAATAACCTAAAGAATAAAAAGTACCCTAAAATCCGTATTAAAGTTCCTTATATCGATTCAAAAATCGAAAACATTAATAGTAAGAAAATTATTACAAATTACTTATATAGAAACAACATTCAATTTAATTCGGATTTTCAAATAACTTACCAATTTAACCCTACTTTAGGAAACTTACTCTTTAACTATAACCGGCATTTAAATTCTCTGCAAAAACAAGTAAATTTTTACCCTTCCCCCACTTGTCATCATTGTTATAGATATCAAAATGACAAAAATACTTTTAATTATAACGGACAAGTTCATGTTTTGACAGGAGAGAGTGATTCTATCAAAAAATATTTTCCTAAAACAGCCAAAATTTTGAAATTAGGTACTAAATTTCGACCTATTTTGAACCCTTCCGAACCTATAAAATTAAACAAGATGTGTATCGATTTTGAAAAAGAAATACGCAAAATAACTAAACATTCGACACCTTTGCAACTCTCGACAGAACTAATTCATACCTTTATTTCTAACCTTCCAAATCTTATCCCTACAGAATTAGACTGGAAAGAGATTGCTAAATTACGACAAACTTTTATTTTAACAAGCGTGGATAAAGCCACTTCCAATTTTGCTATCATCTGCCCCTACCTTTATCAAAGTTTCATTGATAAGGAAATGGGCTTTATCAACGGACGTCCTAATGGTAACGATACCTATAAACCCTATAAAATAGAGAAAATTGAAGATATTATTAAACGACATCTGAATACACAAGCTATTTACCAGTTAAATATTCCAGATCTACCAATTTTACCTAAAATATATGGCCTACCTAAATTTCATAAAAACCCTATTAAATTTAGATTTATTACTGGGGCCTATAATAGTTCTATCAAGCCAATGTCAGTATGCTTACATCAAATTCTTAAATTTATAAGACAACACTTCCAACGATACTGCTCGGCTATAAACTCTAACACTAATAAGAAGGTATATTGGTCTATAGACAACTCAAATCAGGTTAACTTACTAGATAACACGGATAAAAGCAACATTTTCATAGCTGATTTCAGTAGTCTCTTTTACCAACCTTCCTCATGATATTGTTAACACCGCTATTAATGGCTTACTAGACATTTGCTTCAATAATTCTCAAAAAAACTAGTATTAAATTAGGTTACAAAAATTGTTATTACACTAATGACAATGATGGTAACAATACCTACCAGAAAAAGGATATAATGTACTTAGTTAATTACATTCTTACTAACAGCTTTGTGACCTATAAACAAAATCTATTTCAACAAAAGCTAGGAATACCTCAAGGACAAAACTGTAGTCCAATGTTAGCTGACCTTACTCTCACTTACTTTGAATACATATTTTTGAAAGATAATTACTCTAGAGACGTGAGTGGTCACCGATACATGGATGATATCCTTATCCTACATAAACCTAATGTTGATGTTGTCAACTTCTTATCAAAAATATATCCTAAGGAGTTAACTTTAGAACAAACTAATCATTCCATAAACTGTGGCAACTTCCTAGATTTGAAACTTTATAGTCAAAACAATCTCATTAATTCCGAATTGTATAATAAAGTAGA